AGCTCTTTTCCAGCACTCTTTTCCGAGGTTTTCGCGAATTTTCTTGTCTCTTTGCTGTTTTGGCGGAAAAACCGCTTAGGAAAGTGTCAGGCGAAATGAAATTCTTTATTTTAATAATGCAAGTTTGCACATTTTTAATTGTGCTGGCGACAGCTGCAAGAACTTGGCTGCTCACTTGACCCACAAAGGTGCGGCCACTGCAATTGTGGGTGAAGGTGGGCGGAGAGTGGGTGGTGGACGAAGGTGGGTGGGTGGCCAGGTAAGGCGACAAAAACCGCGCTTGCCATAAAGGGACGCTGCAAGGACATTACGACTAAATGTAAACAGCTTAATTAAAAAATAAAACTCCGCTCGGCACGTACAAGGAAAAATAACACTGCGACGAGGGGGAAAATCCCCACACATAACACCACCCACTTGTGGGGAGGGAAAACCGAGGTGGGGATTCTCCCAGCATGTGTGTGACGCGCTCTCTTTATTTGCTTAAATGCACAAAAGTGTTTTTAATTTAATTTTTCGTCTTTTCGCACACACTCTCTTCTACTTTGCTCTTTGAGGCAGCTCCTAATTAAAATGAAAGTAATTTTTCATCAGCAACTGGGGTAAAGTAAAATAATTTTCTTGCCGCCCCCTCGGCAGTCATTGAAGTGCTCATTAAAAATGTTTCAAACCAGTTGCAGTCTTAAATATAGCTCTAAAAAAAAAGTGGAAACTAAAATGTTTTTAGTGAGAAAATTTGAAATTATTTGCTGGGGAGTCTGGCGCCAGCTTTTCCCCACACTTTCCACTCCAGTGTCGTCATCATCGTCGTCAGCTGTTCAAGTGTTTTCCAAGTCGAAACTTTTCTTTTAAATATTTTCCATACTTATCCCTCGTCATGCGCTGCAAAAGTTTTATGCATACGCATTAATGTGAAAAGTGGGGAGGAGTTGGAAAAACTGGGAGATACATATTCCCTTTGGATGGTCCTCGGAAAATGCAAGTACCCTTATTCACTGCTACTAATGTGGAAAATGCCATCGACGACGGAGGGTAATTAACAAGTTTTTGGTTGATAACTTTGGTTTTAGGCTTTCTTACTTTTTATTATTTTTCTTATTGGGGGCTAATGGTTTTAAATCAGTAATACAAATAAATATCAAGGCGTAAACAAGACAAAATAAGGTTTTTCAATTGTAAAACTGTACAAAAAGTGTTAAAAACAAATTAAAACAAATAAAAATAAAATCATTCTGATTTAAAACTCTTGAATTTAATTTCCATACCCCCATTAATATTTCAAATTGTTATCCTAGAGTACAGAACCTGCCCTCGCAGTGCAGTCAGCCATGAAGTGCATGTTTCCCCAATTTGCATGCCAAATTGTTTACTTCTCTCATTTCAATGTGCTTTATCAATTTGAATTTGAGTTGCATGTTTGGGTTCTCTTAGAAGAAAGACGGCATGTGAATTAGTTTTCCAAATGAAATTTCCGCAAGAAACCATGAAAAATTGCTGCAGATTTCGCGGGATAAGCAACAATTTGATTTAGCGAGTTGACTGCACTACTGGAATGTCATGCATAAAGTTTTGTAGCTCTCTTCATGGGCGCACACAAATGGCTTTTTCCCAAACCCCAAAAAGAAAGCCACCCAACCACCCACCAACTCTCGAACACCTTTGCTATCCACCCATCCGCAACACCTGGAAGCGCCCTTCCTCCAAATGGGGCTATCAAAGCCGGCGAATGTCTATTTAATTGTGTCTGCTACGGTGTCGGCATGTCGATGTTCGGACGCCACCCACTTTTTCCTGATGGGCGGCGGGTGGTGGGTGGTAATGGGTGTTTGCCGGGCGGCAGCATCAAATGCACTTTAGCCCAGGGTCCCGTTAACTGACACGGCATACTGATGGACAGAGCTGCTGCAATCTATAGATTAATACATGTTGATGTAGCTAAAAACGCTAGAAAAGAATCCGGTTAAAGTACTGGAATGGTTTTTTAAAGTGCACATTATAAACATAATAAATAATTTAAAAAATCCGAAATATCTAAAAATTAACATGAATGAATAAAGGAAACCTTAAAATATGTTTACCTCGTGAATCAGTAGATAATTTCTCAGAATTGAACGAATTCGCAGAATTACTTGTTTCTTTCGATGCTCCAGATCTGTTCTCCGTGACTTTTCCATAAACGGTTTGTTACGCAACTTTTAAGTTAGCAGTAACATTAAAAATCAATTTTGTTTATTTACTAATACTTTATTTTAAATTATACATTTTTAAAGTCAAATATTACGCCGCTTCTAAAATATCTAAAAATTAGAAGATATATCGATATTTATGCATGTATTTTGAATTATATCGATATTTGAAAGGGCTGCAGCACTTTTATTGTCTTTATCCACTGCTCACATCTTGTAAGCAAACCAACAGTTTCCCACTTCCAAAATTATTTAAAATTAATTAAAAATTTTAGTTATTATTATTTTTATCTTTTTGACAATAGTGCCAACTCTTTTAAATAAATGTTTGTGATTTTTAGTTAAAGATAATGACTAAATAATTTACAAAATCTAAGATTTTTTCAGTAATAAGTAAGTATAATGATAAGTAATAATTATTTAACAAATAAATTAAACATTTCTTTTCCAAAGGCCAAGTTCAGCTTGAAAAGTGCCAAATGGATGACACCGATGGTGGGTTTTCGCTTGAAGTCGCAGGTGTTGCAACTGAGAGTCTGCGGTGTGGTTGCCACACCTGCAATTTAAGTCGCTAGTACATACAGATACCAGAGAGAGTGTGGGCGAAAGGTGGCTGTGTGTGGGTGGTAAATGAAGTCATAAAGTCTGATTTCGCCTGTTCATGCTCATTATCACGTAGCGATATCGTGTAATCGTCATGCTCACGATAATGATGATGTTAACCAAGTGGATCGCTGTATACCACATACCCCTCTCCCTCCCACACCACTTTCTCCATCTCTTTCTCTGTCTCTTCGGTGGAATCTTTCCCATTTATTTTCCTGCATCTGCGCTACGCTAGTAAACTTTCTGACCAAAACTGACACATTCATGAAACAATTTAAAAAGTCATTGTCATCGCAGGATATAGTTCCCATCTCCTTGGAGCTCCTTTTTTTAACTGTCCTGTCAATGGCACCGTCATTTGTTTTGTTGCCCATTACGGTCAGTGTCCCGAGTTGAAAACAAAATTGTCATTGCCCCCAGGCAAGTGGTCCTCGGGTGAGAAGCTTTACTCCAATTGGACCTGAAGTATGTGCCAAGCCATCCGTTCCACCAGCCAAGTCCAGTAGTTCAGTAGTCAGTGCCCCATTTCGAGTACTTCCGCTTGGTCAAGGAGCTCGGGTCCTTGCTTCCCTTATCGGCGATGATAGGGTGTCCTTAGGTCGTGGCCTTCGCATCCTGGCCAAGTTTTGTTTGCGCTGCGAAACTTTTTAACTACGAGGTTCCAGTGCCTTTGTTTTCGCCGCTTACGTGACAGTGCAATTTCGAAAATAATTTCAAGTCTTCAAGCCAAAAGGCCCTCTGTAGTTGTCGTTGTGACTATTTATCAGGAAATAACACAAGAGTTTCATAAGTGTAAAAGGAAATGCATATACATTTTTAAAATTTTTTAAAGAGATTAGTGCTCTTAAATCAATTCCTTCATCTTTAAATTCTGTTAATAGTAGTCTGCTTCCTAAAAGCTTATTTTAACTGCAATATTTTTTTACACAAAAAGAATTCTGATGTTCTCATATGAGATGAAAATTTGCTTAAAAATATAAGAACATTTTTTGAAAATGTTTTTAATGTGCTTTAATAATTTGGAATTTATTTCGAAATATTTGTTATGGTGAAGACTATTTTAAAATATTAATTAAATTTAAGATTTTTAATTTTTTATTTTTTTTTTAAATTATATATTTTTTATATTTTCAATTTAATTTCAATTCTTAACCTAGCACTTAATATTTAGTTAAGCTTATAAGTAATATAAAAATTGGAACATTTATACTTTTAATTTTACCATATGACTTCACCAAAATATGCAATGTGAATTTTTTTCAAAAGTTAATCCAGCTCAAGTTCCCATAGAAATTAGTAAATCATTAAATGGGGATTTACTTTAGCTGAATGCTCGCCAAGGGGATTTTCTGAAGAAATACGCACACACTTTTGATTAAGGGACAATAACCTTGCAGCAAATGTTGCAGAAATTCATTATTGCATCGTAATGATGAAAGGGCCAAAAGAAAGGGAGTCGTGGAGCAGATGGCAATGGCTCCCAACAGTGTAATTTGTGCCAGAGCCAAAGCCACAGGATTTTATTGAGCGGAAAATTAAAAGCATAAAATTGCACGCTTTAAATTTGAGTGCAGTGGCAAAGTGAAAAGTGGCAAAGTGGCAGCCAACAGCAACAGAAGCCGCACCCGCAAAGTGTCGGAGTATTTCGCGGAGTAAGTCGGACTCCAAGATTACCCCAAAGAAGAACGGGGGTTTTCCAGGCCCTTTTCCCCAAGACCCACTCCCCCCCGTTTTTTCCACCCATCCCCAGGTGCAAACTGCAACCTGCAATCTGTGGTTTTTGGACTCACGCGCATACTAAATTCAACTTATTGACAGGCTTGCACTGAAACGTGTTCCGATAAGCGACCAGGTGAGTGAGTTGCACCTGTAACCCCACTCCCTGTTTTCCTGGAAGCTGGCTGGAAAAGATTTTCCCACTGAATAATGGCCATATCGGCATTACTTCGGCCATGAATCTTGCCAACGACAGGGGTACAAATGTTAATTACAAATTTATGACAATTTTTGTGTGGGAAAATATCGGGTTTCTTCTAGGATTGTAGAACATTTGTCTTTGTGAAATATCAGGCAAAAATATTTTAGTTTTTGTTAGGTTTTACTACACAATTTATTTCCATTTATTTAATATTTTTTAATACACTTTTATGAATTTAGGCCAGCCTTCATAAATTTAAATAAATGTAAATAGGTAATGGCTCTTAATTTTTTCCCGACGGCTTTATTATATTACTTATTTATTTAATATCAATTTAATGTTAATATGTAGTTTTAGTTTTTCTTTAAGGATTTGACCCTATAATTTACGATATCATACCGGAATATTACAACACGAGGATATTTCTCCAAGTAAATGACTTAGTAAAATGACTTAAATGCTAAACCCATTTCATTCCAGACTGCGGCCCATCCTGGGCAAAACCGGAGGCATCCACTCCTCGAACTGGGGAATGTCGAACAGCGGATGCTGGTTGAGGATGTCGAAGCGGACCACCTTGTACGTGGAGATGAGCCACTGGCCCATGCAGCGGTTGTTGTCCCGCACATTGCCCATCCTCGTGGGCTCCACGGAATAGTCGCGGCGGAAGCGCATGAAGACCTCGGCAAAGATCAGGGGATGCGGCACCCTCAACTGCGCGGGATCCACATAGTTCTTTAATAGCTCCGCCATTTCTTCAAGTTCCGCCTGCGAACGAAAGTCATTGGATCGTCGGAGAGCCACAAAAACGACATCCAGAAAGGCGAAACGATGATCGTAGTGCCGCAACAACTGAACCTTTAGGGGAATGGCTCGCCGGAAGTGGACCTTCTCGAAGCGCATCATCTGCAGCCTCCAGTCGGGCGGATCGTCCAGCAGGTCGTGCTTGATCTGCTTGAAGCCCATGGGCGTGCTGCACCGCTCGACATTCCGGTTCCGGCGACGCCTCACAAAGTCCGTGAAAACGGCGGCCGCCTGGCGCGAATTCTCTATGAAATGGCGCTCGGAGAAGTCCCAGTCCCACATGAATTTCAGCCGGAGCAGGGATAATTTGGTGGCCAGACGGGTGAGGGGACTGTAGACGTATACCATCATGGGCAGGGACACATCCTGCGGCTCATCCTTGGCCACCGAGAAGTCCAGCTCGATATCCAGTAGCTTACCGGGATTAGCCTCCTTTCGAGGATCCTGGACGTAATGGCGCACCTGAAGGGAACTACATCCATGACGATGCCTTGGAACTCGCTGCAGCACAGGACCGTAGCAGGAGCACTTGTTCATCAGCAGCCGGTGTATCCTCATCATTACATAGTTTAATTTGGTTATAATTTTGTCAAAAGAGGAAGCCGGAATATTCAAACTGAACGGAATACATGTGTACGCAAGCAATTGGCACTGAATGCTCGGAGTGGGGATTGAATGATAGACGCTTGGCGCTTGCCACTTCAATTAATCCCGCATTTGAAAGGGTGCACTAAAAATAAAATTGAAAGACAAATAAAAAAAATTTATAAAACGTATTGTAAAGATTTTTTTCCGAACATGCTATAATTCTCAACTACTTTTTCAGAACTACACAAAGTTCATATTTTCCTTAGTAGGACATGTTTATCCTCTATTTCATTCAAAAGTAAGTTAATAAATTATTTAAGGGTATTTTCAGATTTTTTTTTAAGTTGCCTTTCTCTGTGAATTTTTTATGTGTTCGTTTATTTTCCCAGTGTAATTTCCCATATTGGCAAAACAACAATAAGGTCCTAATTGAGCCGTCATGGAAGGGAATTCAATACGCCCGAGACCGGCAGGAAGATAGGGTCTTCATCATTTGCTCGACTCCCGCAGGAGAGGCTCGTGCGCCTCCATAGACTCAGCAGCATGCAATTATCGAATGCATTAGCAAATGCAGAGTGCCTCCGAAAGCCTCTGCTCACCTTTCGCCACCCTGGCTCACCTTGGCTCACCTTGGCCCACTTGGCACCCACCCGCATTTGTTTGCCCAGGCGTTCATTTATCCCCGTCCGGGCGAAGGAAAACAAACAATGGCAAATAGGGAGACACGCCCACAAGGCATCTCAATTGGATGCAACCGCCCACCGACTTCTACATCGGTTTAATTGTTTGACAATTGATTTCGATTTAAGGAGGGTACCGCCTGCAAAATATGCAAATGTTTTCGGGATAATTAAATGAAAGTCGATTGTAAGGGCAACTCATGAAATGCAAGTCGAAACAAGACAGTTGATTCTTTGCAATCAGTAGAGTTAATCGAAATAAACAAATGTATTAAATTTATTTCCTAAATGTTGTAACACATACATCATGGATGATACACTCATTAGTGAAATATTATTGAACTTTTTAAAATTTCTCGGCAAAGCAGTAAAATGTAATTTAATATTAATAAGCATTTGATTAAATATTTACCTGTGTAATGATTTAAGTTTCTGTAAATTCATTGAATGCAAAAAAAATCAACCGATTTTATGTTCAAATTTCAATCTTCTGTTTACAACTTTTGTGTATTTTTTCAATCATTTAACAAAAGGACTCAAAAATTACTGCTGATATTTGCACAATCCTTTAAAAAGTTTTAAAAAGTACAGTTGCCTCCGATGAGTATGCAAATCCCTGGTAAAACCGATTCAGTTTGATGCCTATGCCTACCAACGCTTTAACTAATTCAGAAGACAAAAATGCCCATCCATCCATCCATGTTTGATGCCGTAGATTTATCAAACGAAATATGAAATGAGCGGAACGGAATAAACCTGCGACAATGGAGTTTTGGAGTATGAATGTTGCAGATGGCATGGGGATTTTCGGCCCACACACACACGGCATACGGAGCATTTGGGCACACAAAATCCCCCTGTAATCCCCGGGAAAATACGAGGAAAACAGAGAGAAGTATCGCAATAAAATATGTTAAGTAAATACGAAAAAGGGGGGGGGGCGTGCTGGGGAAAACTAAACAATAAGCCAAAAAGTACGCTTGATTAAGTTTAACTTCCGGTCTGTTATAAATTGAGCATTTATGTGGGATTTGTTTGCGAAAACAGTTTCTACTTTGTTGGGTTGTTCCTGGGTCCTCCGAAAAAAGAAATCTATGCTATCCATCCATCGGCTTGCCAAACGAGACAAATGTTTAGGCCAGCTCACACGCACGCACACTACCGTATGTCTATTTCCGGCGGAAGTGGTGAATAAAACATGAAACGAAATAAAATGACGGCCCAGAGGCAGAGGTAGAAAAGAGAAATTTTAGTGGCCAAAAGTGAACATCCGTTTGGAGAGGCCAGAAATTTTGCCGCTGCTCCCTGCTGTTGGCATTGTTGAGTTTTATTTTGTTTACTTGGGCGCAAATGGCTAAATTATTCCTGAACCGGCCAATCGAAGGGGCAAATAAAAATTAAATGGCAAACATTTTATCGAGCACTGCAAGGAGTCTGCAGCTCTGCATCTCCTGGCACTTAATATCCGTAGATAAAATATTCAATTTCCCCATCGAATGACAAACTTCGGAAATAACCAACTGAACGAGAGACATCGGAGATTTCACCGGCTGGAAATTCTATGATATTTCTGCATACATCTGTTAATTTGCAAGCATATCTGCAGTTTTGACTTGGTCAATATTAAGCAGGCCAATTGAGTCGGCAAACTGAATATTATAATCATTCGGTCGTTGAAATCAAAATTATCGTTATTGCCTTCAGCAGACAAGAGATGGCCATCCGTACTCGACCATTAACTGCAATTCAGGGCCCAAATCCATTTCGGAGAGTGCTTCATTAACGATCTGTGGCTTCGTTGACCGCAAATTATTTCACCAGGCTTTGCACTTTTGCCCATTTCTAAAGGGCCATGCAACTAATTTCCTGGCCAAAGCTTTCGGCAGGGTAAGTCTCTAAAAGGCCCAAAAACACTTATGTGCAAGTTGAGCTTGAGAATTTGTTTGTTTTTAATCCTCAGCAGATTGTAGAAGATAGATTTTATTTTTCTAAGGATTTAAAGTGTATTAGATGTAATATGTATTGAAAATATACATAAGAAATAAGAAAGATAAAATCCAAATAAGTCAATTTTAAAAGCTGAAAATATTTTATTTATTGGTGCTGTTGGCATGAATGAGCTGAAGATATAGTGCTAAATATTTCTCCTGCCCTATCGACAATAGTAGGCGATACATTTGCTGCCAAAACCGTAGATGGGATCGTATTGTCTTGTGCTGGGAATACGGGAAGGACATTGGTTGTAGGACTTGCAGGAGTTGAAAGAGTTGGACGGCGGACAGGGAAATCTGAAGGTCCTGCAAGTGGGTCGGCACTTTGGAGGATTTGCAAATCGGCAGATCAAATCATTCGATGGATATCCTTGCTTCATTTCCATTTTAGGCGGGGGTAGAATCTTTGGTCTCTTCTGTCTCGGCTTCTTTTCACTCGGTTTCTTCTCATCTGGCTTCTTTTTAGCTCGCTCCCTTACCATCACTTGGGAAACTCGGCTCTCATAAACGGCTGTCATATTTCCATTCGATTCCTTGGCATTGGGTCTTTTTACAGAAGCCTCCTTTCTGTTAGTAACCCTCATGTGCACCGTACTCACATTATCGTAATCCGAGGGTATTCTTTTTCTTTCATTGGGCACCTTTTCATTGTCGGAGTCGGAGGGAGTTCTTTCCTTTTCCATTGGCATTTCCTCCTCTTTATCGTTTGAATTGTCACTACTGATAATGACAAAAGGTTCGCTAAGAGGAAAGTGTATATCAATTAAAAATGATTTAAAATAAATATATAAAAAATATATTAAATCATATTTAACATATATTAAATTTTGGGTTCTTTTTGCAAGGGATTTGCTTTTGTATTATAAAGTGTTCACTACTTAGTGTGTTTTTTACCCACTTTTCTTCTGTGAAGGTTTAGGAAATCCTACCTTATATCTTCATCATTGACAATTGATGTGTTTTGGTCCGAGTTCGATGCACCGGTATCCTTTCCGGATTCCGAGCGGCTTATGTTGTCCGTGGGTGAGCGGGAAAGGGGTTTGGTTGGAGATCCTCGGGTGGGTGATCGGTTATTGGGTGATCGAGATATACGGGATGGCGGAGATCCCACCGGAGTTTTGACCTTGTTTATGGATTTCTCCACCGTCTTCTTAGAATCCCCAAAGTCCCGCTCATAAGTCTCATATTTATGGTAGATCAGCTCACCCGTTTCCGAATTGGAACCGGATTTGGAGACCTCCGCTTTCATAGACTCAACTATTGGTTCCAGTTCCGATTTGCGCAGAGGTCGTAGGGGTACGATATCATTCTCTGTGATTTCTTCAGGTTTCTTCTTCTGGGTTTTTTCTACAGTATGAATCTTTGTGATTGCTTGATTGGGATCGGTTGGAAAATGGGTGACCGATTGAACCTTCTCGATGAAAATATCCTTTGTGCCGGTGCGGTGTTTCACTTCCATTTCCTTTGTTGTCAGTTCGGTGACAGCAATATAATCGAGCTCCATTGAATCTTGAGATTCCTCGCGACATGGACATGGTGTTTCGGTTTCATCCCTTTTGCATCTGCACCCTTCCTCCTCGTCCGTTGGACATGCTGTTTCGGTTTGATCCTTTTTGCACTTGTAATCCTCCCTCTGATCCCTCTTACACTTGCACTCGTCCGTTTGAACGCCCATTTCGTGGGTTACACAGTAGCAGGATCTTCTCCTGGTAATATTTTGTCCTTCAAAATTTTCCTGAAACATGTTTCTAGGTTGTTGGCAACAGTTTTGTGGGGGCAACTGAAAGCAACATTTCCGTTGAGATCGCTGTGCAAATTGCTGAGAAGGTTTCTGTGGAAATTGCTGATAAGAATCCTGCGAGAATTGCTGACAAGAATCCTGTGGAAATTGCTGACGAGGTTCCTGAGTGACTTGCCTAGAAGATTGCTGCCCATAGAAGCAGTTTAGAGGAGGTTGGCAGTTCCAATTTCGAGCAGATTCCTGGGGAAGTTTTTGAGGATTTCCTGGGGTGAAATTCTGAAAAACTTCCAGAGGATCTGATCTATTCTGCCAGCAAGATCGTTGACAGCACTCAGCCTGTCGTCCCCTCGAATCATATGATGCTTGAGTCTCCAGCGGCAAACCACCCATGTTGCAGCATTTTACGGAGGACAAGCATTTTTCTTGGCAAGGCAATCGCATTTCACACCGGCAACGTGGACATTGGCAGGGTTCAGTCATCAATCTGCAGTCCTGCATCCTGATAACCAGGATTCTAACAAACCTTCTCACTCATTTAACAACGATCAACATGGACTTTAATTTTGGAAAAACATCGAAGTGGTTGGTTTTTAAATAGAATTTACAAGCATGCTTAAAATTTATTACAAATCTTATATTTCAAATATAAAATCGGTCGAACCCAATGATGAAGATTTATTAAGTGATAATATAAGATAAATTTGGTTATTTTATTGTTTCAAAAAGGTTTCAGAAATCGTTTAAATAGATACAAAATATTTCTTAAAATTCCGAATCTAAACCAAATATTTTTTAAAATTCTTAATCATGAGAACCTTTGACTTTATCATTTATTTTTTGCACTTGACACTATAACCAGTTTTTATTAAACACGCGTTCGAACGAGAACTTCTGATTTTTACGACATAATTTTTTAGAAACCAAAAATTTTAGAGTACGAAATTTGGACAGAGAACCATCATGAGTTCCCACAAAAAGTTGGATGACTTTAGCCGGAAGTTGGACCTGGCCAAATGGTATATGGGCGTTTCCACGCAACAGGAGACGGCGATGTTTCGGATGTCCGAGAGTCTGCGGGATGACTATGAGCAGGGAACGGGCGAAAAGATGTACAAGGCCCTAACAGCCCTGGGAATCCAACCGGTGATATCCAAGAAGAAGATCAGTCGGATGGTGCAGTTGAGCAGGAACAATATACTGGCCTTTCTGTACTTTGTGATGGAGGGTTACTACAAGACGTGCCAGAAGGATGGTGTCTATAGCATAAATGAGCAGTTGCTGATGAATGCCATTGCCAAGATTGATATGTTGGCCACTATAAGAGCTTTGGATACTGTTCTTCCAAGGCCACCGCAGAAAATGCCGGAAATTGAGGCTCAGTCGCTGAATTCCCTGAGTGTAGCAGAGCGTCCTTTGAAGAAACCATCCAAGAAATCACCCTACTTTCAAAAGCAACCGAAACCGGTGCAAAGAACCTCCCGTTTGACCGCCAAACTGCCTGAATTTGTGGTATCCTTTAACTTTTGGCCCAACAATGGACCACCTAATTATGGGGAGGACGAAGAGGAGCCATGGTATGCCTTGTACCGCCTGAATCCCGGCCAGCGTTTGATCAAGAAAACCCTATCCGAAACCCTGGAGCGTTATTTCAAACTGGGTGGCTTGATGGAGGAGGAAGATAAACCCAAAGGTCGGGAGCCCGAGGCCAATATGTGTCTGCTGCACAAGGGACAGGTGGTGCAGGCGCAGCTTTTGAGGGATGAACTGACGGTCAAGGCGAGGGATCGCTGCCTGGAGCTCCTGGACGTGACCGAGCCGTATGGCAAGCTGAGGAAGGCCAGGATTGTGGCCCAGTTGGAGCACGACATCGATGTAATCATGGCACGCCATCGCAATGCGATGCACTGCGACCAGACCAAAGTGCTGACCATCGAGAATGCGGATTGTGTGCTGTGCCAGAAGATGTTGGTATCGCAACCCTGGCCGGAGCCCAAGGAACAGGCTGGCCGAGCTCTGGTGGGTGAGGATATTCAAGTGGCCCACACGGCCGCCATCGACACTTACCACGGCAAGAGACTTGAGGGGGGAGGTGGCAAGCCGGTAAGTTAGGATCTACGTTTATAGCATATTTTATTTTCGGTTTTTATTATTATATTAACAAGAAGTTGAATGGAAAATTTATAAGAATTTAAACTAATTTTGATGAAATTCCGTATCACTATGGACGGCAGTCCATGTAGTGACGAAGCGCACCAGGAGAGTGTGCGAAGGCGACTACTATATATACACGAAGAAATGAAAATCTACTGTGATGGTCCGATCATAATGAATAATATACCTATCGAAAGGTATTGCGAAAACTAACAGGATTGCATACCAAGACTTTAAGAAAATCAATTGGCTTGGGAGAGAGAGCGGTGAAAGTGAAAAAGTGAAAATTTCGAAATTTGGAGCTGTTGGGGCCGGTGGGGATAAATGCCCCCTCGCAATGTTTTAGTTGTATTCCTTTTGAAAATACCCGTCGAATGAGGGGTCATTTGTCAAAATCCGACTCTCCGTTCAAAAGTTATAGCCAAAATAAGATTTTCTTCTTCTTCCCAAAATGAAAATTTAATTCTGTTTGTCAGTTTGTCCACTTGTCCACTTGTCCAAAATATGTTTTTTAAGTTCTGAAAATTTGATATGACGTTCATCACATCGATATAAAAAACTTTTGTTCTACCACTTTTGGAAAAACCCGCTAGTTTAGCGGGAAAACAGCTATAAGTAGCTAAAATTCGGAAAGCCGTAACTTCTATACTACTAAAGCTACAGGCTTGTGCTGCATCTCGTTTGAAAGGTATTTTTAAATGCTATAAACGCCTTCTATATGCAATTTGTGTAAATGTAATACTTAAAAAAATATGAACAAAAGACAATTTTTAAAAACTTTTTTTTTAGCTTTTTTTTATTTTTCTCAAAAACGGCTCTAACGATTTTCTTTAAAACCTTAAACTGTATAGCCCTTGAGATTCCTTAAATTTTGGTATATAACACATTACTGTAAAAAGTCACGTTTAAAAGTTATTTTTATTCGAAAATAGCCACTTTTGCCAGCTCGAACAATTAACGCTCCCTGAGTATTGAATTTTGTGGGAGGGTATCCGAACTGTATTTTAGGGTCATGGAATCAGTAAATTTGCACTTAAGAGTTCCATATAGGAATCTTTTGTTCTACGACTTTTGGAAAAAGCCGCTACTTTAGCGGGAAAAAGCTAAAAATAGCTAAATTTCGTTAGTTTGTAAGTTCTACACTACTAAAGGTACAGACATGTACTATACCTCGTTTAAAAGGTATTTTGAAATACTTCAACGCCTTTTTAACTTAATTTGTTAAAATACAATAGTTTAAAAATTATGATTGACCAATTTAAATTTAAATGTATATATTAGCTCCTATGAGAGCAAATGTATACAAACAAAAACTTCTGATATCAAATAAAAACACCTCTTAACGAGGTAAAAAACTAGTGACGACCGCACCTTCAACATACAAAAGTTCTGATATCAACATTTGTGACGAAAAATTATTACACTCGTCATTAAATAGACTTTCTAATCTTTTCTAATTCGTCACGCTGCAATAGAAAATGCCTGTAAAGGGAAAAAGGCTGGAATAGTTTGCTAGGGCGGGCCGAATGAGAAAAGATTAGAAAGTCTATTTAATGACGAGTGTAATAATTTTTCGTCACAAATGTTGATATCAGAACTTTTGTATGTTGAAGGTGCGGTCGTCACTAGTTTTTTACCTCGTTAAGAGGTGTTTTTATTTGATTTCTTAATACACACAAATAAGTATAAATCTTTATTTTGACGGTATAGAGTTCGAACTAAAGCATTTTACAATAGTTTTAAAAGCTGTATGTATTTCTTTTAATCTTATCGATATTACTCTTTTTATAAGAGCGAGAAATCGAAAATACCTAGTTAAAAAATCGATTTTAAATGAATTATACTTCTAAATTTATCTTTAGAATTTTATCATATTTATTTTTTTTTTTAACGTTTTACTTCTAATTTGTATTTAACTCTAACTCTAACCTCTAATTTTTACAATATTCATAAATTTTTTTTACAGAAAAAGAACAAAAAGGATAAGAAGGGTAAAAAGCCAAAAAAACAAGAGGAGCCACCGCCGGAACCTCCGAAGGAAGAGCCCAAGAAGGTATCGCCCTGGAAGCCACCGCCGCGCAAACTGGTCAACACTCCCTTTCGAATGCTTAGCATGGATTTTAATGATAAGTCCTCGGACAAATGTAACCCCACACTGGATCCCTCGGAATGCGATAAACCTCCGGCGCCAAGAAAGTCGGGCGTATCATTTCTCCTGGCCAAGGGAAAAATCCAAACGAACAATGAAACGTGCAAAATGCGAGCAGTCAGCAAGCAGGTTAAAAAGAAGTTCTTTCGAGGACCGCGATCAAATAAACCCTACAAGTTCAAGTACCATCGGGTCTTCCAGTCCGGTCAACCCAGACCCTTCGACTTGAAGAAGATCATGACCAGGTCGATTGTAAAGGCGCTGGGAAAATCGGAGGACGAACGAGGTCATGAGTCCTGTAATTTGGACTGCCTAATGAGGGAGATGGCCATTGAAGACGAGCTGCCGCCGGATAATGATGGGAATGATAAGAAAGCGGCTCCAGAGCCCCAAGTACCGTTCGATTTATTCGACGATGAGGACAAAACCTCCGATGATAGTCGGGAAACCATAGACCGTTCGAGCAACCACAGCTGTCGCAGTCGTGTGGATTACAAGGCGGAGATTGTGGATGCGGTGGTGCGATGTGCCAAGGCTATTTGGCAGAAGCAGGCCCTTATAAAGCGGGCCGAAATGGAGCGTTTGGGCAGGATGACGCCCCGAAAGGCTCTAACCCACAAGGAGACGGATCATTATGATCCCGACAACGCCGAGCAAATGAACCAGTTGCTAAGGGATGGACTGAGAGCTCTCCGGAAGGAACCCCGCTTTGTTTTGGCCAGTCTACCGGAGGCCCACAAGTTGCCCATCCTCAGGGAATGGATCAAGAGGCGTTACGGAAAGACCTACAGCCAAAAGGAGCTCGGCGAAAGCATTATCGAGGCGAACAGGATTTTCGAGCTAGTTACCGTGTGCCAGAGCAGTCCACCCGATCCCGATCTCATGGGTATAGATCGGTTGCGCAGATCCCAGGAGAACTTTAACAACTACAAGCGGATCAAAAATACGGTGAGTCTTGTAGTTGGTTAGGAAAAAATATGTTTGGTAGCTGTCTTGGAATTTAGTAACCATAATGATACAATATTTAATTTAATATTTTTAAGATAAATGTGAACAAATAAGTCATTAGTAAACCGTAAAATGGATATGGTCATGTAAAATCGATATGGTCATGTAAATTTCTGGTTATGCCATACGTATATCGTTTTAACATAAAATAGTCTTTTCGAGCATATCGAATTTACGGGGCCGTATCAAGTTAATATTGATATTACATAATGTAAAATCGATCTACGTTTAATTTTTTTTTGTGTGTAGTAACTAATATCAATCTTTCTCTTTTCCCAGGCTGCCATTGTGAAGCAAACCTTCCATGATCAGTTGAATGCGCGCTACCTGGAGACCGTGGGCTCTGCCTGGTATGCGATGGGAAACTATCTGGTGCCCGGAGGACCTCCTCGCAGGACCTTCTTCGCCTACATAGCCTCGAATCCGCAGGAGATAATGCGTGCAAAGGTGTGGAACGGGGAGTATCGCAATCACCGCGCCTTCCGTGAGAAGAGGAAGGAACAGGAGAGGCTTTTGGGCAAGATGGATGGTTAAAAAAAAATAAAGATTTGAACATCAGTTATATTTGGGTTTAGTGCGAGCCACTCGTTTGCCGGTGAAGCCTTTGCTTGCCAAATAATCGAGAATGGAGCGCTTTGTGTGCACCTTCAGTTGGCGGACATCAAACTGCAGCTCCTTGTTGCAATATTCGGCCCCCTCCATCCTTTGTATCAAGTGGATGACGTGCAGCAGGACCTCGCCATCCAGCTGCTGAATTTTGGCATGAAAATCGAGATCCTCTTCGGTGGTGAAGGGTTTCTGCTGACTTAGAGATCCCGAAACTGGCGGGGGAGTCCATTCCGGAGGATCTTCCCTAATCGAAGAGGATGATGAAGATGATTCCGATTCATCCGATGAGCTCGAGGAACTCTCCTCTTCGTCTCCATTCATTCTTTTCCCATTACTTGCGTACAACTGTACCTGTGCGTACATTTCCTCGAAGATGAGCTGCAGCTTTTTGGCCATTTCGTAGCACAAGTGACCGGGATTCGTGTACAAATAGGTGTTGTAGAAAATCAGCCTCACATCCTTGACAAAATCAGCGGCCGTCTGATAGCAGCCCGTATTCACACGATGCCTTACGGTCGACAGATCCATGGGTTCCTTTACGATCTCATGGTAATCGTGCAGGCCCAAAAGCTGAGCGTCCAGTGGCTCGTAGAAAACCCAGGCTATATTCTTGTAGGAACTGGAAAACAGCCGCTTGATAATCGCCTTGCAGGCATTTATTTCCGGCGAAGCCCTTTCGGTCTCTTGTTTTCCAGACATTCTGGAAAAAGCGTGGGATTGCTGAAAATTCCCTATGCAAATTAATATTTCTTACCCTTTTGACACATGCAAAACAGCTTGATGGAACACCCAAAGGGCAGGAATATTTTTTAGCAAAGCTGTCATCTTTCACACATTGGCCTGCTAGATGTTTTTTTTCTGGTATATTTAGTTTATGAAAACATGTGGGATTGCCACCTCAACCCGAGCAGAAAAGTCAATCCACAATTGCGGTTAGGCCAGCAAACAAATTCAGTTAATTATGCAAGTGGTTCTGTTCTCTACAGAAATGTATTTTCATATTTTTGTGTGGGAGTGCGGTCCTTTGGGGTTTATCCGTAGCCTGGGGCAGTTAATCTAATTTTTCAGGACCCATACAAACAGTCCCTTTTTTTCGGTGAATGTATTTGGACAAACATTAAAGTCCCTTCGAGATATTGGGCCCCCAAAAATATTTGTGGTCAACCGCTGACGTCAGCTTTTTGGGGGAGGGGCAAATAATTATTTTGCATAAAAGTTTTGTCAAGAGATACAAAATCATACATCATCTTTGGCCAAATATTTGCAGGGTTTTCGTTTGGATAGTCAACAAGTTGGGTTTCCAAAAGTTGAAAAGAAATCCTTTTTAAAGCTAGGCTGTTAAATTGGCTTCCACATGCGTTTGGAGGGGAAATCCTGTGGCTCTCTTTCACTGTTAGCTTGCAGTCCACAAATGAGAGTAAATCAGGCTCAGAGGCTTCTGTGCTCTCGCTGTTAACTTACCTGCCACAAAAAGTGAAAATTGGGTGGCAATCGGCACAAGTCTTGGCCACATCTTGGGGCAACTCTTTAGTCTGCTGCTGGGACTTAAAGGGAATGGTCCTGCCAGTGGGTCGAAATTCCCTATCGAATGGATTACACTCCACTGACCCACTTGCGTCTGGGTTAAATACTTGGTAGATAACCTTTGGCACATGAACTTTTTTTAAAATTTGACATAAATAAAGCAATTGATGCAAAAACTGAAACCGCTTTAAAGATTGCTGTTCTTTTTCCAAGATCTAACTTTTCTTAATTTTTCTCAAAAAAAAAGAGAATTTTATCCAAAGCCAAGTCACAAATTGACATTTTTCATTAAAATCATCTCAAGAACAAACACATTTTCTGACAATTAATATTACATATTATAAAAGGACTTCTATAAAAAAGGGTTTCAAAATTAAAACTTGTTAATTAATATTACATCTTATAAAAGGACTTCTATAAAAAAGTTTTCTAATGTATAACTTTTCAAGATGGAATTTTATTTTCAATTTAACAGAATTTTTGTATCAGTTATTGTTGGCTCGTTATATAAATACTCATTATATTTTGCATCATTTAAAATCACTGCTATTTTTACATATAAGTAAATACTACACTTTTCTCAGTACCTCTCAACATAAGATTCCCTTTGATCTTGTCGATACGTCAAGTGCTGTCTTCATTTCATTTGGTATTCCATGGTAAAAATTTCCCTTTCTACACTCATAAAAATAATTTTCTACATTTTAGAAAATCGCCCTAAAAAAATTTTCGCCCGTGAACTGAGAAAAATGTTCTATTTTCACGACAAATTTGCCATAAATTCAAGGCAGGTGGCCATAAAAAAATCTTTTTAGGGTTAATTTTTCTATTTTTCTAATATTTAGGGCGATTTTTTTCGATTTGCTTCGTTTTGACCTTTTCTAAATCCAACGGCGAATCGCCCTAAATTTTTCCCTACAATTTTTCTAAACACAACGGCGATTTGCCTTAAATCTGAGGACTGCAGGTCAGCATAGAAAGAGAGAAAAATATAAAAATAGAGATACCAGATATGCATCGGTTTTTGGTTATGTTTCCGTCTCCTCAAAAGAGTGAGACGGAGCACTTTTTTCGACGAACTTTCGGGAAATTTGTGTGCACTTCGTGTGACCTACGTACATATGTATTGATTTTAGTGCGTTGTGAGTTTTGACAAGTGTTAGACGTAAGTCATGGAGCTGCTACTAAAAGACTTGGGAGGAGAAGCCTTTATTAATATTTTTAATGGTAAGTAAATTGTGTAGTACATGTACGTATTTTATAAATAGATAATTAATGTGATATAATTTAATTGTGTTTATTAGAACGGCATTTCAACCTTGAAACCTTAAAACACTTAAAATGGGATCAGCTGCGTGGTGAAATTCCAGTAGAATTGGTAGGGCCAGCAGTCGAGTTTTTTCAAAGACTAGAGCTATGGCAAAAAAACGTAAGTATTAAAGATTCAGTGCAAGTTCAAACATAAATACGTTTTGGTTGTCGAAATATGTGTGTGTATGCATTTGTTTTCCTTTTGTTGCGCAAAGGGGCAATAAACTGCGCAGTCGCGACGCGTGGGCGCCGCAAAGAAAGAAACTGCGCATTTGTTTTTCAGAATAAGGGTTGAAATTTTGAGTTACTTTCAGTTGTGTGTGATTTGTGGTAAAGTGAAGATCTATTTTGGTTTAATTTCTGTGCAACAATTAATCTAGATAGCTAAAAATTAGACATATTTCATAAATTTTCAGGATCAGGATCAGGATAACAGTATTGAGTCCGTATTTGGTGTTTCATTGAGCAATATTCTGGCAAACAGCAAGAAGGGAAAGCTTATAATAAATAGCTATGAAGAAACAAAATCCCTCAATACCAGGACGCGAAGGGAGCTGAGCCGTTCCATCGTAGAGTACTTGCTGGCAAATGCTGTTCAACCCAAGCAGGAACTCTTAGAAGACGTCGCCTTGCAAATTACTCATCTATTCAGTTCTGAAACTGCTGTAAGTAACTATTTTTTTCCAAAAACAGTATTAAATTGGAAGTTTTTTTCCTCTAGGAAACCTATTTTCTTAAAAACAAAGGCAAAAAGCCAGGTGGACTGCTCTACTCAAACTATTACAACCTTAAAGCTAAATTTTCCAATAAGGCTCCTAAAGTCAGGTCTGAGGACGAAGAAAATCTTTCCCCAAATGCACATGTTCTTGAAGGCAAGTGAAACTTAACTTTTTCGAATACATGTATTTAAGAAGTATTTTGCGTTTACAGAGGAGGTCGAGTTAGCAAGAACTTGGTTAAAGCTAAATGTCGAGCCGTTCGAGACTGTTCTGAATCACTGGAACTCTAGCTTTATGTGGAGGACTAATTTTCTTAAATCAGAAGCAAATTTCTCCGATGTGTTGGATGAATTTCCAATTTTAAAGCAATCATTTGGACACTCTCTGGTTCGTTACCCTTAAAATCCAAACTTTCCCATATCTTTAAAGTAATTTTATTTTAGATTGAGGCCGATTTTGATTTGCTGTATCCCCATCAAAGCAGAAAATTGGTTGAAAAATGGGATAATTTTAAAATACAATTTGTTCCCCTTCTCAAGTCCAAAGTCAGAGAGCAACAAAGTTTAAATTTGTTGAAAATTTTTGACCAGCAATCAGAAGGTATTTATTTATGTTTAGATATTATAAAATCATTTTTAAAGCAAACTATTTTCTCATTTAGGAACTAAGTCAACTTTTATATGGATGTGCCTACATGCAGTTTTGGTTCCAACAAACAGATGCAAAAAAACCTGGATCCAAAATTCCAGCAGCCAAATTCACGATCGCCGACTCGAGAAACCGATTCATGATGTGGAAGGCGAGTTTGGGCGAGCTGCAGACATTTCTAAAGGATCAAATGGATACTTGTTTCAGTGACAAGCTAAAACTTCAGCCCTTTGTATGTTGTATCGGAACTAACCCAATTAATTTGACTGATTTTTTTGTTTATCTATCCGGTATATTCTACCGTATGCCAGACTTGCTCACAAGTATTGATGTTTGCTTCAAGATATTTTTTGTTTTAAATCTCAAATATCCTAGTGAGTGCCAATTAGTGTGGACATTTATTCAAAAGCTAATTTTTGAAATTGAGCTTAGCTCAGATATAAAAAACAAATCTGTTTCGGAGCTGATAAATGATTATAAAAATTTAAAAAAAGTAATTTATTTTTAAATTTGAACTTTTCTCTTATAATATTTCAATTTTCAATATATTACATTTTCTTTTTATATTATAAGATATTAGGTTTAAATTTTTTACTAATTTTCGTTAACTTTGAAACTTTTTTTTTTTTTTTTATTTTTTTTTTTTTTCTACCATTACATTTAGTTTTTATATAGTTTTCCTTAGGTTAATCATTTAATTTTGAAACTTCTTTTTTTTCCTTACTTTTTATTTTTTCTTACCATTACGTTTAGTTTTTTACATCGTTTTTTTTTATTATCATTTAATTTTGAAACTTTTTTTTTACTATTACTTCTTACTATTTAGTTTTTCATATTTTTATTCCAAATCCGTATCAAAATGGAACTGAAATGTAAAATTTGCTTTCTTAATTTTGCTGACAAAACTAAATTCATGGCTCATATGTATGAATATCATACGCTTACACTTTTTGCAATCTTCCTTGCGGTTTTATGTTTTGTTCCCAAACATATTCTAATATACGGTCCCTCGCCAAACACACTCAAAACGAAAGTTTACATTTGTTTTTTTAGGGAAAAAAAAAAAAAAAAAACAAAAAAATAATACAGACGACAATAGTACTATAGTAAATTTACAACAAGAAGAATTAGAATCATTAGAATTTCCGATAGTAAACAAACCTTCACAACAAGAAATAGAATCAGATTTAAAAAGCCCACAGATTGTCAACACACATGATTCCAAACCGAACACCGTAAATTTCCAAAATAATACAGAAAACTTTACATTAAAATTATGCTCAACATTAAAAACTCCACGCGAAGAAGTTTTCAAATTGCAAAAAGAAATTAAAAGATATATCACAACCCCGTTAGAAAAGGAATTACGGAAAGTTAGAAATTCACTAAAGACGCCACACGATTTAAATAATATTATAGATTTTTGCCAAAACCCATTTAGGAACTGTAACAGTGAATACAATCTATTAAAAACTCTCAGGGATAAAGATTTATATGAGGATCCGCTTATTATAACCATTGATAATAGAATATCCCCAATTAGATTTAGAAGCAGAATGTCTTTAAAAGCAAAAAAAATACAAGCGGCAATCTTTCCTTTAAAGTTTCACTTTAAAAAATTTTTTGAAATGCCGTCTGTACTTGACAGTTTTTTGAAAAGACTTGCTTATTGGGAAGGTCAAAAGAATTTTTGTAATTTCGTAAACGGTTATTTATGGAAACAAATTAAGTTAAGCTTCTCTAATTCCGATAAAATTGTCTTGCCATACTTTTTATACTTCGATGACTTCGAGGTTAACAATCCATTGGGCCCACATTGTGCCCCTATTCAAGGGCTTTATTTGTCCTTCCCAACTGCTCCCAATGAATTAAATAATATCTTTTGTGCTGCATTATTTAAGACATTTGATATTAAGTTATTAGGTTATTCTAAGTGCCTTTTTAAATTTATAAAGCTTCTACAAGAACTTGAAAATGACGGAGTGGATGTCAAAATAAATGGGAGGCACCATAAAATAGTTTTTGTCTTAGGACTAATTTTAGGCGGCAATTTGGGACTGAATAGCGTTTTGGGATTCACAACCTCGTTTTCAAGCAGTTTTTTTTGCAGGTTTTGTAAGCTTTCAATATCAAAAACTGCATTAGCATACAATGTTAAATTTAAATATTTGCGAAATGAAGTGAATTATAGAGAAGATATTGAACAGAGTGACCCAAAATTAACAGGAATAAAGTCCGATTGTGCTTTTAATAAACTTCAACATTTTTCAGCAGTAAAAAACTTTTCTGTCGACATACTTCACGATGTATTCGAAGGCATTTTACGCTACGATATTCCGCATATTATTATGCATTACATTGGTACTAAAATATTTGATCTAGAAACATTAAATTTACGAAAAACTAATTTTCAATACGGTACTGCTGAAATCGGAAATATTTTTCCCCCGTTGCAGTTGAATCATTTAAAAAAATGTAATATTAAAGCAACAGCCCGTGAGCTTCTCACATTTGTAACTTATTTTCCATTAATGATAGGGGACTTAGTTCCAATTGAAGATACGGTTTGGAAATTTGTGAAAAATTTACTAAAGTTAATTGATATAATTACATACTCTGAGTATACCATCAATGATTTAAAATCTTTAAAAGAAATCATAACATACCATAATAAGGAATACCCTATTTTATTTAATGATTCTTTAAAGCCAAAGCATCATTTTTTATTACATTATTATGATATAATACAACAGTCTGGACCCCTTAAGTATTTGTGGACTTTTCCTTTTGAAGCCAAACACAAAAGCCTAAAAACATACGCAAAAAACACGACTTCTCGAAAAAACATTATTGTGTCCTTGGCAAACAAGATGTGTATTAATTTTGCAAATTATATTCAAAATTTTAAAGTCCAGGAACTAGAACTCAGCAAATCCAAGTGCTTAGGAACAAATTCCCTATTATTCGAAGAGCTTTGTAACTTTTATGATCAAATAGAAAATGTTACTTGTTATACCTACGTAAAACTTCAAAATATTATTTTTAAAAAGAATTTTATAATATACAGCTTCGAACCAGATTTTATATCATTCGAAATAAATGAAATATGTTCCTTTGAAAGCGAAGTTTCAATGTTATGTGCTAAGCTAAAAACGAAATATAGTGAGCATTTTACATGTCATAAAATCTTGAAAAAAAAGGAATATACCCTGATAAAGTTGAATGACATCAAATTTCCGCCCACGGAAACACAATTAATAAATGAAAACATGTATATTAAACCTAAATTCTATTTTTAACTAATCTTTAAATATTTATTAGTTTAAGCAATATTATAAGTACCTAATAGTATTTAAAAATATTTATTATGTTAAAAAAATGTATACATAAATTTAAGCAATACCAATGTAAAAAATAATAAATAATTTATGAAAATCCAAAAATAAAACCAATTTTTTAGGGCTATCCACCTGTTTTTAAGAAAATAATTTCTAATATTCAGAAAAATATACCATAAAAGTAATCCCAATTTTTAAAAAAATTTAGAAATAAATTCTATTTTTGGCGGCGATTTACCCGTGAATTCAGAAAATTGTCCCTAAATTTAAGGAAACCGCATCTCACATTAAGGGCAAGTCACCAATAAAAGAGGAAAATCTGTCTAAATGAAAGAAAATTTGCCCTAAATTATGACAGTTCTGAACCAAATCTAGAATAATAATTCTGATATTTAGGGCTTTTTATCCTAAATTCACGAAAATTGTTCTAAATTTAAGGGCATATGGGATAGAAATTAGAAAGCCCATTGGTACAATTAGGGCATATCACCTTAAAAACAGGAAAATATTTCTCAATTCAAGAAAAAACACCCTAAATTAAACCAAATTTCCATAGGAATTTTTTAGAAAAATTTTTCTAAATCCACGGGCGAATCGCCAGCGGATACGATTTACGGGCGATTTTCTAAATCCACGGGCGAAAAGTCAGTTTTTTAGGGCGATTTAGGGTAAAAATTTCTATGAGTGTATAGCCGATTTCTAGATAAAAATCTTTTTCATTTTTTAACACACAAGTAAAACTGCGACACTCAATCAGTTGGCAGATGAAATTATACACCTAGGGATTGGGGGGCAGGTGCTAAAAGGATCGCCGGAGGGACAGGAGGACAGGGATGGAAAAAACGTGTGAGGCTGTCAGAGACAGAACCTCCCCCGCTTGCCCCTTATCCCGCCTTCAGGTGTATCCCTACCTGGCCATCCCGCATCATCATCCCATCGGAACCAGGCGATATATGTGGATAAATATAAGAAAAAGCGGCAGCGGCAGCAAAAAAAAAGCGGCAATATGAAAGCCCTGCAGAAAAAGGGAAAAGAAGTACCAGCATCGGAGAACTCTGAGGAGATATGAGAAATGTACATTTGGACAGGCTACACACGCTGCCCTCCGAACGAGTGCAAGCAAGACGGGGCGAACGGAGCGAAAGAGACGGAGACAGGCAGTCAGATGTCAAACATTCTTTTGACACTTTGTCATAGCATCTCTCGGTGACACTTGTCAGCAGTCGGATTTCGCATTTCGGTGGAATGGATGTGCCGCAGTTGATTTATACGGCCATATATGTATTTACGTATACCTATATTCATACACATCCGTTGTATCCGCTCGTATCTTAATAGCATTTTCTTATGAATCGTCTGAATTCAATTTTGCTAATGCTTCAAGAGACCTGGAAGATAATCATTCTTTTGTGTTTATGTTTTCAAGCTACCTGTAGAGTATTCTTGAAGAAAATCATAATTTTATATTCGATATTTTTTGTATCAATTATTTAATAATAAGTTAGTTTGAACAAGTGGTGCTAAGATTTACTAAATTTTTTTGTGTCCTTTCACTTTCGAAAAGGAAACCCACATTTGTAGTAAATATTTAACAAGTTCCAATTTTTTTAAGATTTAAAATAATTTATTTTCTGAATGTGAAGTGGATGAACATATTATATTATTGATATGAACACTTTTGTTTAGAATTATTTTAAGACAGCTATATAAATACGGGCTATAATTCGTACAGAATTATGATCCATATATCACCACTTGGGACTTGATATCAGCATTTCGGGCTGAAGTGAATTTGATGGTGACAGTGGTGGAACCCACACCGCCAGAAGTAATTTCGGCCGTAGCACCTCGCATTCTCTTCAGATCCGTGATTTTGATGTACGTGATTGTCTTTGCCGTTCCCGCTTGCGTTAGGGTATAGGTTTTCGTAGAGGTACCAAAAAGTGTCTTGCTTTTCGTTACGGTCTCACTAGCGATTAGGGTATCGGTCGAAGCCTGGGTTCCATAAGTATAGTCGTTTCCTTCGCTATTTCCAAAGTTCGCATCAATCAAGCAGATGTGGGTGCCAACCAAAAGCAAAAACACTCCAAAGAAGTACATTTCAAAAGGTTGTTGTGTTTTGCTGAAGAGATGAAAGCTTACTGTTGGTTAAGACAATGCAGCGATTCGCTTTTATAGGGCTGCTCCGATAGTAAATTTCTGTAACCTACCAGATGACCTACATCGATAATGGGGAAGATAGAGAAGTATATGTAACAGTTGCGCAAACATATCTTAAACGCGACACATTCTATCTTGCCGCTCAATGAAAACGAAATCATTATTGAGAAAAACAAGTTTATCGACTATCAGATACCCGACCTTTTCAACATTTTCAAAGTTTGGGTGCCACAGAGTTTAATGAAAACTTTCGTACATTTATTTGATTTATATTTTGAAGCAAAGAATAAACGTCTTCTATTATATCGCCTCTTGAGATTAATTAGAACACATAAGTTACAAAATAGTGCGCCAATACAATATACCCTTTTAAATCTACGAGGAAAGGCTATAAAATCGAATCAGGTTTTGTTGCATCAATCTCATTATTCATAGAGAAAGTGAAATTTTCTTTGACTTCTGCATCACATTATTTTTTATAACTTCTTTTATTACTAATTTTATTGTGTAATCAAAAATAAAATACTTTGCTTTTACAATTTTTTACTGCAGTTGGAAAAAAGTAAAAGTGAGTGTCAAACACGAAAAATACTGGAATGATAGTTGTTCGATAGTCTTTTGATAACTGCATTTCAACAGCAAAGTGTTTCAAAACGATTCATTTATACTTACATGTGTTGGTTTTATGGCCAAATCGTAGTGAAGATTTCATATCTACAAGAACTTAATTATAGAACTTAATTAAAGAACTAGAGAGAGTGGTATAGTATCGGTTACCCAACCGATAGCGATTCAATGTGTTGAATGCAAGAACATTTTAAGATCTCAAAGCTTATACAAATAGAAGGATGAATATGGGGCCAGATAATCTCGATTGTTTTAGCTGATCGTAAGTAAATATACCTTCAATTGGCGCTCATAATGATCATGACATTGAAAAACATTGTCATGAGATGACATTGTCATTATCATTATCATGGGAAAAACTATGTTAAGGTCACGAAAAGTAGTTTTTCCTATAAGTAGAAAGACAAGGTCTTTTATTTCTCGATGTTACAACAATTCCAGCAAATGTCCAACAACGACAAACTAAAATTTCAAATATTTTCATTTGGGAATTGAAATCTATTCAATTGGGTAACATTGTCATAAGGAGACAACGATTTCATTTTAAATTATATCGAAATTTATTTTCTTTAAGTTCTTCATTATTTTCTGTCCAGAAATTGTGCTTCCACTGTTTTAAGCCTTAAAGTTCACCAGCTGAAATATGATAATTAGGTCCTTAGCAACATTGTTTTCTTTGTGCAAAGGGTATGGGGATTTTCTAGAGCTCGAACAAACCCAATTAGCGCCCCGAATTGAACGAACAGTTTTGCTATTTAACTAGCAAGTTGACGGCCATTTATCAGGGAATCTAATCTAATCCTTTTACTGGTCAAATAAATTAAAATGGAAAGCCTTTTTCGGCAGCCAGGCCACTAAATTACACCAAAGATAATTAACCTGTAGGGGCTGCGGATTTTGCAGAGAGCGGGAAAGTTGGAGTCTCGATGGGTTTTTGCGGGCACTTTATTAGGTCTTCGACCCAAAACGGCGGAAGCGAAAACGACGAGGAGGAGCATCATCACCAAGGACCAAGCAGCAAAGGAGCGAACTGAAATTACAAAATGGCGCAAATTATTGCGGCACAGACTCGACCTCGTTGGCTATTTCCGTCGGCAGGCATTTTTCCAAATGAAGTTTGCAAGTAATCATGAAAAAGGTAATTTAATAAAAGCAAAATCGAGCAACATAAAACTAATTTACGGCCTGAAATTGGCTGTGAAAAGCGAGTGAAAACACAGAAAAATGTTTGCCAACGGAGGCGGCAAGGGAGGTCGCAGTCCTTTGAAGTTCAAGGTTAAGCACACTTTCCACAGCTTTCCACTGCTCTCCATCCGGCCGTAATAATGGACTTGTGAAAGGGAGCAGAGAGCAAGAGATCGATTCAATAAAGGATAAGCCATCGCATGCATAAGCTCCTTGAGTGGCTGAGTCCCCAACAAGCGGCAGTGCCACATGTCCGGCAATAGCACAGCAGCAACATCCAGGGCAAAGGCAGCAACATCAACGACAACAGCAGCAATATTCCGAGCAACAACAGCAGCAATGCTCAATAAGCGGCTCAAACGGGTCGCAAAAAAATGAGCAAAGAAACTGGCAATGTAGCAGAATGATTTCCTCAAATTTGCCATAGTCCCAGAACATTAAGCACCGAAAATACTTTTTTGGGGTTCTCTGAATGATTTTATTTCTATTTTTAATGTTGTCATAATTATAGAAATATTATTAGATTACCAGCAGAAATCTTTCACATTGAAAAAAATGGTTTGAATAATTTACTACTTATGCTTAGTTAAGGAAAACAAATTTTAGAATATATGGTACAACTTTTTGTTGTATAAATAACAGCTTTACTTTATTTATAATTCTGGTTTTTCATGTCAATATTATTGACTCAATAATGCATATTTTACATTTCACAATTTACTTTTATTATAGACCCTTTAAAAAAATATTTTAAGAAGATTATGGTAGAAATATATTCTCTTGTAGGTTTTTATTTATAAACACACACCAAATTCTTCTCCAATTATGCGAAAATATAAACAAGGTCATAATCATAATCAACACTCGCTTTATATGTAAATTGTGTATTAAATATTTTTAAAAGTGGTTTTGACCCCCACAAAACCCTTCATGACCACACATATGACAAAACAATTTAAGAGCTTATTTATTCCACAAATTTTTCGTCCCCATCCACTCACATTTTCCACTTAGCTCATTTTTGCTGGCTTGTGTCCAAGCGCTGAGCATTTTTGGCCACAAAATGTTACAAGGCCAAGAACTGCAGCAGCAAATATGGCTAAAAATGCTAAAGGACAACATGTTAAAGTTTAAGCAAATATGTTTGCCAGGAAGCAAAATCCACCCCCTCGTGGCCTTTGGCCCCCAAAATGTACCCCCTCGATGCAGCATTTTACGGGCAAGCAAACATTTTTGGCTTCCTTGCCCGGTTGCGAATCCAAATCAAAGCATTTAAACGGGAATTTCGGTATGTGTGTGTGTCCTTTTGCATTATTTAAAAGTTGCTTTAATGCCATTTTATGCTTCGGCACGCCAGCGAAAGTGGAGCAAACCATCTGGGATTCACGGCGGCGGCGGGGAAAGTTTTTTGGCCTACGCAAATGAGACCCAATTCCGTAAGGAGAGGAGCCAAGGAGCAGGTTCGAGCAGTAGGTCAGCACCAGAGGAGCCACATTTATGCCGGGGTTGTGCAGAAAAACGTTTAAAGAGAGCTTAAGAATTATGTTTTCTAAATAATGAGTCTAGCTTAAGCCACCTAATGCATTAGAAAACCAAATGGTATGGTATACAAAGTTGGCCATATATTTAAGTGTTTTATAAACAAAAGAATAGGAAGAATAAAAAAAAATGTATTTTTTATTTTTTGAAAAAATGTAAATTTTTAATTAAGAATTATTGATAAAATTAAGGTTTCTTATTAAAATAAATTCATAACCAAACGATATTTGTTAGTAAATTAGTATAAAGTCCCAGAGTAAATTGTTCATTACCAATATTTAGTCAAGCTCTCATTTCCGGTTTTTAATGTTCAAGTTTTGGGTTTTCTTTGTTCCTTGCACATTCTCCCTATTTGCTTTATTTTGGCGTTGTGGCTATCTGGTAAATTCCACATAAGCGTTACCCATTGGACCATATAGCAGAGGCAAAAATAACAATCTGTTTCCAAGGCTCTCGCAGCTGGTATTCCTTACCCTCTGACCATCGCCATGCAGCCACTGAACATAATCTAAAACAGAAATGTTAAAATCCATTTTAATTTCTATTATGCAAATTTGCTCAAGTGCCATGTGTCGGGTTGTCGGGGCGACGTCAGATTTTTAGCCCACTCCAGAACAGAAGTGGTCTGTTCCACTCACAAGCACACACATTCGAGATGGAAAAGTGGTTCAGTCTAGTCGGTAGTCGGGTTCGGGTCGCCTTGCCCCGAATGCATAATAACTTTGTTACGGTGGAGATGGCATGGGGTCCAAGATGAGGGGTGCAAGAACTGGACTGGACTCCCAGAAAAAATACACTCGACCTTTTATAACTTGAACTATCGTCTGCTAAAAATAAGTTGGGTCTTTGGGAATTGAATTTAGAGCTTTGGAATGGGCAAAATATTGGATTTTTTGGCTATTAATCTTTCGGATGGTTTTTATATTTTTAGCATTTCAAAAAATAGATATGGATAAAAAAATACAATTTATTGAAACATATAATTAAATCAGTATTTTTACTTTGTAATATTCGAGAATATTCGATTTACAGAATAAAAGCTGCCGACCTTTTAAACCACGAACTGTTGTCTGCTAAAAACAATTTTGTATTTTGTACAATGATGATGATAGCCATCAACTTTTCGGATGTCTTTTTACATTTACAGCATTGTATAAAACAATTAATTAAAATATATGATATTGATATATCTAATTAAATCTTTATTTTAATAATAGTCGTGAAATAGATGATATAGATGTTCAACTGTAGATTGTGACCTGGTGCTCTTGCTCGTAGCTCCCGTGGCATATGCGGCAAACTTTTTCCTAAAATAATTTTGGTTGAAAAATTTGAATGCAGAAATTTTCATAGCTGCATCCTTTCATTTCTGACATGGCCAATTCAATTTGTGAAAATATGGCACAAAGGCGACCGACAAAACAAGGCGAACCCGACATACTGGCACATATATTCCATATAAAGTGGATAGTGGTAGTAGTAGTTTTGTGGCCAGGGGAGGAGAGCCCAATTTAAACGCTTGCCGAGTGACACATGCCGGGGAGACTGGGAGCAGGGATGAGAGACTGGAGACAGGACACACAGGACACGGGAGCTGGGAAAACGGAGGACAGGAGACGGAGT